CCAGGCCCAGGCCCAGGTCCAAGGCCAGCATCTCACACACACACCTATCCTGGGAGTCCTCTGGGTGCCAGGGGTCCTGGCTCCCTCGCTGTTGGCCCCATGTGTGTTTACCCGGGATCTGTGTGTGTCCTGGGCCCCGGCCACACATGCAGTGGATAGGCCAGTGTGGGGGACAGTCCCACTGAAGGGCTCCTCCATCTGTTTCTCACAGGGTCAACCTGGTGCAGCAGGGATCCCTGGTGACTCGGTAAGATGCCCCCGCTCCCCCAGGGTCTCCTGCCCCACAGGGCCCCCATCGCGATGGTAGTACCGCTGATGTGGTAGCCTTTGACCTTACAGTGACCCAGTGCTCTCATGGTGTACTCATGTTGCCCAGGGTCCCCCACCTCCACAGTAGCCCCCTATGAAGGTGTCCCCTGCCCATGGAGACCCTTGTCCCCTGCCTATAGTGACCCTTGTCCCCATGCCAAGCCCCAGTGGCTCTGGCCTCCAGAGGTGACTCCCACCCCATGGTGTCCCCTACTCACTATCCAGGGTGATTCTCTTTGGTCCCTCACTGACCTCCTCTGACCTCACATGGACCCTCTCCCTGCTAGGGATCCCCAGGAAAGGATGGAGTGCCTGGTATCCGAGGAGAAAAAGGAGATATTGGCTTCATGGGTCCCCGGGGCCTCAAGGTAGGACAGAAACAAGATTGTTTTTTGTTTTCTGGTCAGGAAGGCCTAATGTTGAAGGGTGAGGGGCTTGGGGTCCGATGTTAGGGTGCGGGGTCAGAGGCTGGAGTGTCAGGCCTGTCTGGAGAGTTGGTTTCAGAGTGAAGGGGTCACAGGGTGAGATGTCTGGGAATCACTTCTTCACCTGCTTTTCTCCCTCAGGGTGAACGGGGGGTGAAGGGAGCCTGTGGCCTTGACGGAGAGAAGGGAGACAAGGTACAGAGGGGATGGGACTGGGGGGCTATGGGGCCTGGGGCTTAAGGCTCACCCGACTTTGATGCCTGCAGGGAGAAGTTGGTCCCCCAGGCCGCCCCGGGCTGGCAGGACACAAAGGAGAGATGGTGAGTGTGGGCACACTTAGAATGAGGGTGCCACGGGTGGACCGGGCCAAGCTCATGTCTTTTTTTTCTCCAGGGGGAGCCTGGTATGCCGGGCCAGTCGGGGTCCCCTGGCAAGGAGGGCCTAATCGGTCCCAAGGTACAGGGTCTATGGACAGTAGACATGATGGGGGGTCAGGATGGGGCAGGAGAGCTCACAGTCACGTCATGGCGGTGTAGGAACAAGGAAGGCTGTGGAGGGTTGGGACTTTGCAGGATGAAATGGGGCTGGTCCTGAGGTTTCAAGGTGGGTTGGGATCACAGTGGAGTTAGGATGAAAGCACGGGAGGTGGTGGGGGCATGGGCATCAGGGCAGGGGGCTAGAGTGGAGTTGGGGTCATGGGGACCACATCTGGTGGGCTCACAGGTGCTTGGGTAATAGGTTTGGACATTGGGCCAGGGAGCTCATGGGAGTTCAGGGAGGTTCCAGAGCTGAGGGAAATCAGGTAGAAGGTCTCTCATGCTTCTTCCGTTCCCAGGGCGATCGAGGCTTTGATGGGCAGCCAGGCCCCAAGGGTGACCAGGGCGAGAAAGGGGAACGGGTGAGTTGAGGCCGTGGTCATGGTGAATTGAAGGGAGCATGCCCTTTGGGAGACAGTCCACCTTTGGGACCTCTGATTACTGACTCTGTCCTGTCTCTCTCCAGGGACCCCCAGGAATTGGGGGCTTCCCAGGCCCCAGGGGCAATGATGGCTCTGCTGGTCCCCCGGGGCCACCTGGCAATGTTGGTCCCAGAGGCCCCGAAGGACTTCAGGGCCAGAAGGTAAGGAGCCCCAGTTCTGACTCCTGACTACTGAGCCTTCCCTACCCTTCCAATCTCGTAACCATCCTCCAGCCTGCCTGCCCCAACCTCTGAAACTGTGACCCTCAACCTGCCTGACTCCTGACCCCCACTGCCTCTGACCCTGCTCACTTGGTCTCTGTGTCTGACAGGGTGAGCGAGGTCCCCCTGGAGAGAGGGTAGTGGGGGCTCCCGGGGCCCCTGGAGCCCCTGGTGAGAGAGGGGAGCAGGTAAGTAGGGATCCCTGGGCTTGGATCAGAGATTGGGGTGAACTCTGTTGTCCCTGAGATCAGAGGTCACAGCCTGGTCCTATCTGTTGGACATAGGGGCGGCCAGGGCCTGCTGGCACCCGAGGTGAGAAAGGAGAAGCTGCACTGACGGTGAGCATGGGCCTGGGTGGCCTGGGTGGGCTGGGGCCCTGCCTCCCTCACCCAGCACCCTGACCCCTGACCCCTGGGCCCTGGCTCCATGTGGTCCCTCTATGATCCCTGCATTATGCGCCCTCTGTCCTTCCTGTGAACCACGGGTTCTTCATGGTCCCCTTGGTCTTCTGCTCCCAGGAGGATGACATCCGGGGCTTTGTGCGCCAGGAGATGAGTCAGCACTGCGGTGAGTGGGGCCCAGGCTGCAGTCTCCCCGGTTCCACCCCTGCCCCACCCCAGCGCCCTAGGCAAGGGCAGGCAGGCCCCTAGAACTTACAGGGCAAGCGGTCAAGGAGATGGGGGGATGGGTGGATACACAGAAGGACACGCATGCTGCAGGACTGACACATGACACGTGTCCTTAATGGAGGAGAGACAGGCAGATGAGGATCGCCACACAGTGTTCTCGGATGTCCAGCTTGGCTGTGTGGGGAGCGGGATGATGGTGGGAGCAGAGCTGGCCCCCTTGGGCCTGACCTGGACCCGGTGGGATATGATGACTCTGAGGGGCATCAGAGTGAGGCTGTCTCTTCCCGTCTCTGTACCGCCTGCCTGTTTCTGAGGCTGGCCTGTCTCTGTCTCATGCCTTTTGCTGGCCTGTTCCCAACTTCCCTCTCCTCTGCCTTCTTCTCTTTTTCCGTCTCTCTGTCCATCTCCCACCCTCTCTCTTCCTCTGTCTCCTGTCTGTCACTCTCTCCTGCTGTCTCTTTATGTATTTCTGCCCCTCTGCATGTGTGTCTATCTCTCCATCTTCCCGTCCTTCTCTCTGTCATTGTCTCTCTACCCCTCCCTGCCCCCTCTAGCCTGCCAGGGTCAGTTCATCGCATCTGGATCACGTGAGTAGTTTTCTACTCCCAGAACTTTCTTCACCCCAGGCCCTGCCCTGCCTATCACCTGGGTCCTGTCAGTGGGGTTGGCTGGGATGGCTACCCATGGTGACCCCAGGGCCCTGAGGCCCCTGCTCTTGGCCCCAGGACCCCTCCCTAGTTATGCTGCAGACACTGCGGGATCCAAGCTCCATGCTGTACCTGTGCTCCGGGTCTCTCATGCGGAGGAAGGTGAGGACAGCTGAACCTGAGGGGTAGGTGTGGGTGGGGCCCAGACACGCCCATGGGTGCCCATGCATCCAGGGCACATGCCAAGCACATAGGGTCTGCATGCAGGACACATGCATGGGCTCTCTGTGCACACATGGGAGATGGGTGCTGCCCACCTCGCCCCGGGGCCGGCAGCCACTGCTCCCAGCACACCCTGCCTTACCTGCAGAGCGGGTGCCCCCGCAGGATGATGAGTACTCTGAATACTCCGAGTATTCTCTGGAGGAGTACCAAGACCCTGAGGCTCCTTGGGATGATGATGGTGAGAATGGGGGGCTGCACTCAGCAGAGCTTGGGGAGGGGCAGGCAGAGCTGATCCCTGCTGACCTCCCACTAACCTTTCAACCCTCTCTGATTCCCACCACCCCGCTAACTTGACGACATTGGCCAGACCCCTGCTCCCTGCCGCTGGATGAGGGTTCCTGTACCGCCTACACCCTGCGCTGGTATCATCGGGCTGTGCCAGGCGGCACAGAGGCCTGTCACCCTTTTGTCTATGGCGGCTGTGGAGGGAATGCCAACCGTTTTGGGACCCGTGAGGCCTGCGAGCGCCGCTGCTCACCCCGGGTGGCCCAGAACCAGGGGACAGGTATGGGCTGAGCCCCCCACAGTAGGGGACTGGGCACTGAGCCTACTCGGGTTCTTGGGGAGGAGTCCTTGGGCCAGGGTCCCAGGTCAGGGTCCTGGGGGAGACGCTCCCTTAAACTAGGGGACCTGGGGCAGACGCCCAAGCCAAAGAGCTGAATATAAAGCCCTAGCTGTGGAGCCCCCAGTAGGGTCCCCTTCCATGTTCCCTCCTTTAAAGACCTAAGCATGGACCCCTCTGAGGTCAGAACCCCACTTCCTGCTGTAGCCTCAGCTCCCTCCCCATGGGCGCCTCTGTCTGGGCGTCTCTGGGTAAGGTCAGATGGCTGACAACTGTTTCCAACCCGTCCTCACCAGGTGCTGCCCAGAGCTGAGGCCCAGATTATGAGCTGACATTCAGCGTCCCCTGGAGGAGTCGGGGTCTCAGCAGAACCCCGCTGCCCCTCCCCTTGGTGCTAGAGGCTTGTGTGCACGTGAGCGTGCGTGTGCATGTCCGTTATTTCAGTGACTTGGTCCCGTGGGTCTAGCCTTCCCCCCTGTGGACAAACCCCCACTGTGGCTCCTGCCACCCTGGCAGATGACTCACTATGGGGGGGTGGCTGTGGGCAGTGAGCGGATGTGACTGGTGTCTGACCCGCCCCTTGACCCAAGCCTGTGATGACATGGTGCTGATTCTGGGGGGCATTAAAGCTGCTGTTTTAAAAGGCTCCTATTGTGACTGTTTGGGAAGATGGGGGTGTTGGGGGGAAGGTTTTCCCTGGGGGGTCAGTACTATTCTGCATGGGTACAAAGTCCCTCTGCCTGGACCTGGTCACTGCCTTGTGATTCTCAGTCCCCAACTTGTCCCCAGAAAGGAGTAGATAGGGCAGGGGCTAAGGATGTGTCCCCACTGCCCCCCAGGAGGGATGAGTCATAGGTGGGGGGCTGTCTCATGCCAGGAGGCATGTCCCAGCTCCCACTCCAGGGGGCTGAGGGCGATAAATGGGCCCTGAAGTGGGGTAGAGGGTCAGACCAGAGGACAGCATTGCCTAGCTCCAGCTCCAGGCAGCCACAGCAGCCTGACTGACTCCAGGAGCAGCTGGTGGCGGTAGGACTGGGTTGGGTCAGGATGAGAAGGGTCTTGGGGGTTGAGTGGACCTGGGCTTTGGCTTTGTGGAGGGCTGGGACCCAGAGGGCTCTGGGATCTCTGGCTGCTTTTCTGCCTCCGAGACCCCATTCCCGCCCTTCTCTTTCCTGGATCAGCTGCAAGCTCTCCTGCTGAGAACCCCCTGTCTTCCCGTGGAGCCTCTGTGTTTCTCTGTCTGATTCTTTCTTTCCGTCATGCTCTCTGTCCCTGGGATGGTTTTTGTCTGTCTTCTTCTTCCAGTCTCCATTTTACTCTGCCTCCATCCCCTTCATCTCCCTCTCTTGCTGTCTCTCTGTCTCTGGATTTCTTTGCCTCCTTTCTTTCTGTCTTGCTTTCTGCCTGTCTCCTTCTGGCTCTCCTCTTGTCTCCCCTTCTCTGTCTCTGGGCTGGCCTGGCCTCTAATCCCTTTCTCCATTTCTTCCTCTCTCTCCATCCCCCTCTCTGTCACTCTGCCCTTGCCATCTCTCTGTCCATGGACCCCAGGTGACCTTGCCCTGAATCCGTTTTCTCCTTGCAGCCTGACCTCACGATGACCAGGTGGGCTCTGCTGGTGCTGATGGTCCTGATGTTGGGCAGAGTCCAGGTTGTCCTGGTGACCCCTATCCCAACCTTTCAGCTCCGCCCTCGGAACTCTCCCCAGACCACTCCCCGACCTGCGGCCTCAGAGAGCCCCTCAGCTGCTACCACACGCCCCTGCGCTGCCCAGAGCCGCTGCAGCCCCACCCGGCACCCCGGCTCACACATCGTCCTATCACTGGATGTCCCCATCGGCCTCTTGCAGATCTTACTGGAGCAAGCCAGGGCCAGGGCTGCCAGGGAGCAGGCCGCCACCAATGCCCACATCCTGGCCCGTGTCGGCCGCCGTTGAGCCTGAGGGAGGGGGTTACAGTGATGGGGCCACCCTGGATGGGAGGACCTGGGGGGCAGCCACACAGCTGGACAAATGCTGCCACATCTGGGCATACAGTGTCTGGACATTGCCACCTGCAGCCACTGCCATGCAGTGTCATATCACATCTGAGTGCCCCACAGAGTCACAGTGTGTCTGGACAGCCTGGACATTGGACATTGCTATGTTGGGTCACTGCCACATGGAGGTTCGCCATGCCGGTGTGCCCCACAGACCTAAAATACGTCTGGACAGCTTGGATGCCACCATGTAAGGTCACTGCTGCGGCGAGTCTTGCTATGTGTGGGTGCCTCACAGTCACAGAGTATCTGGACCCTGCCACATGCGGTCACCATCACATTACTTTCAGGAGCCTCAACACAAGAGCTCAACACTCCCTCCGAGACCAGTCCCTCTCAGGCCCACAGGTCTGTCCTCCCGTAGGCCACCACACAGGGAAACGCTGGCTGAGGGTCATTTGCTTGCTCTGTACCCCATGAGGCAGCACCTGCCCCAGATGGACGGGGCTGTGAAGGGTGACATGTGACCCTGTGACCATGGCAGCCTTGCCTTACGGATGCATGTGCGCATGTGTGGCTGAATCTCTGACAGCTGTGTGTGTGTGAGCAGGGTAAAGATGCATGGGGGGTCTTGGAGGAGTGGGTGCTTGTCCCCCAAACCTACATGAAGCAAGCACAACTCCCAGTCAGGCACTGTCCTCCCCATGTGCCCCTGCATCCGCAGCCTCAGCCCATGCACTTGCATGGTTCAGGGGAGACAGGGCTCAGGCTGCCGGGGCTCTGACCCAACTCTGTCCCCCTTCATGCACAGATTGTCCTGGGCAAAGGTTTTCACCTTTCTGAGCCTCGGTTTCCTTATCTGTAAAGCAGAGCGGCACCAGCAAGCATGTGAGCATTGTGTAGATAGCAGACATGGAGGTCCTGCAGCAGGAGGTCTCAATAAATGTAAAGCTATTGAAGGGTGGGATGTGTGAGAATCCCAGTCCTGTGTACACAGGCCATGACATGTAAGGGCTGAGTCACACCTGGCTTCTCTGCCTTCCTCCCCCACTCCCCACTTAAATGACCTGGTCCCTTGGTTTGGAAGGACTAGGTTCTGCCTGATTTCACAGCCCAACTCCATTGCTGGGCCAGAGACGAAACTGACTTTCTGGGTGGCATGGATCGGCCTGCCTGCAGAGTGGGCAGGCACTAGGTGGACATGAAGGCAGACACTGGGTGTCATGGGCAGCTCTGGTGGGAGAGGGAGGCCGTACTGGCTAGAGTGTGGCTGGCTGACTGGAGTGGGGGCACTGGCGCTGCCCTCATAGTTGTAAGCAGCCCTGTGGGGGCGGGCCTTGGGCGGGCTGGGGAGGCGGGGCTGCGGGAGCCGCTGCGCTCTCTCCAGAGTGCTGGGCGGGGTGACCCCACTCTGGAGCTGCAGGGGGCAGTGGCCCTGGCCAGTTTGGTTGCAGGATGGACAGAGGCTCTTTAGGAGGCAGCTCCCTGACGGACCTGGGGCCAGGGAGCAGCAGGCAGGGTAGGCTCGGGACAGTGTGGGGAGTGTGGGGAGTTAGGGAAAGACCTGGATGAAGTCAGGGTGGTGCTGGAGAGGTGCCAGAGGGTTGGGGGGGTCTTCCTGGTATAGGGGTGCTGGGGGGAAGCATTCTTCTGTCAGTGGCCTGAAGGAGGGGGAAAACTATCGCCTTGCAAGGGAGGGGGCTGGGCCAATGGGGAACTATAAATAGTGTCTTCCTCCAGCCCAGGGGGAGGGACCGCCAGCTGGAGCTGCCCAGGCCCTCCTGCTCTGCTCTTTGCTGGCCTCCGAGGGATCATGTTTGTCCAGGTCTCCTCTCAGGGGTCACACCAGTTTGGGGAAGTCTAGAGGCTCATTTGGAAAGGGTTTCACATGATGTGCCTTTAGCCCTTAAGCCAGCATTTCTAGGGTATCTGCTGTGTGCCTTGCCAGTCTTGAGCTTCTCTGAACACCTGCTGTGTGCTGAGTTTGGTCATAAACCTCTCAGAACCCTTTCTGTGTGCCCCTGCTGGTCCTGAATCCCTAAGCACCTACTGTATGCCCTGTGCCAGGCTGGAAGGAGGAAGTGCAGATCAGGGTTCCCAGGCTGCTTGGTGACATGGCTCTATGCCTCCAAGTCAGAACCTCACGCTCACTGTGAGCCCTGAATCCAGGGAGATACAGGGGACAATCCTTTGCTGGAAATGGCCAGAGGAAACTGGAATTCCTGGAAAATCCTGAACCTCTCAGTGGACAGCAGGGGTGGGAGTGGAGGGATATATGGGGAGGGAGGCAATAGAGAGAAGCAGGCCCCACACAGCCTGCCCGTCTCCATACACGCCGGGGCGCAGGGCTTGTGAGTGCATGTGCATCTGTGTGTGCATCTGCATGTGTGGTTGTGAGCTGTGCCAGTGTGTCTGTGCACATCAGTGTGTGGGCCTGTGTGGCACACACTGACACCCCGGGTCTTTATGCTGCAAAGGGTGGTTTGTGGGCCAGGTGTGGCGGCTCATGCCTGTGAACCCAGCGCTTTGGGAGGTTGAGGCAAGAAGATCGCTTGAGGCCAGGAGTTCAAGGCTGTAGTGAGCCGTGATTGCACCACTGTGCTCCAGCCTGGGTGATGGAGTGAGACCCTGTCTCAAAACCAAAACAACTGTGTGTGTGTTGCAGGGGGGATGGTTCAGCAGTTCTGTCAGGACTGGCCGGTAGATACAGGGACTGGGAAGGGTATGAGCTTTGAGGACTGGCCATCACATGGCTTCTAGGCTGGGACACTGGGAGGAAGTCCAGTGGTGAGTGCAGAGGGCACCATGGGAGCCAGCCAGGGTCAGGCTAGCCAGGGTCATGGTGGGCAGAGGCTGAGCAGAACATGTTGACACATGTGTGCACAGACAACCCAGCATCCTTCCCACGCCTGAGGCAGGACAGTGGCTCGCTGAGGAGGGAAAAGCCATGAGGGCCAGGGATTCTACCAGGCATCTGCTGAGGCCGAAGGAGCAGAGCCAGGACAGCAGCTCCACGGAGAGGACACGGTGGGGCAGGAGCACAGGTGTAGAGGTGGACTGTGTCATGACAGTGCAGTGTGGGAGGCGAGGTCTGGAAGGCTGGGAGTTGAGCTGAGTCCACGCTGCACTGTGAACTCACCCTGTGCACTGTGCCCTTCTCCCCCTTCCTGGCTGTCAGTTTCCCACCTGAGAAACAGGGCCATGGGAGAGGAGATGGAGAATATCCTCAGAGCAGATGTGGACCCTGGCCTTGGGGAGGAACCCCAGGCATCTCCTGATGTTGACCTGTGGCCTTCCAGCTGAACACAGGGACTTGAAGGAGGGTGCCTGGGTCAGCCCCGAGTAGACTTTCCGGGGAAGAGAGGGAGGTGCAGAGCTGTTGCATTTCCTGGGAACCAGGCTCATCCTGTCTGGGTGTGAGGATGTCTTCCCAGAGATAGCCCTGGCCCCCTGCCCAGGCCCGCTGTCTCTACCCCCAGCCCTTGAGTAGCATCCCAGGAGGTCTGGGAAGAGAAAAATTGACAGGCCGGAGGAGGCACTAGGTGTCTGTAGATGTCAGAGGAGATAGCTTTTGCAATGTGTGCTGTGGGTTAGACAGGGTGTGGATATGTGGTAATGAGGTCTCAGAGGCCACAGTGGCCCCGGGATGGCCTTGGCAGTAGCCAGAAGACAAGAGGACTGGCTGTGTCAGGAACAGAATGAGTGGCTTTGGAGAAGTAGGGAGGTCATAAGGGGCACCCAGCTCATCAGGAGCCGCCCATGGATGTGCTCAGATCTGCTGGGAATGGGGTGGAGGAAGGAGTGGGTGGATGCTGCAAAAGGAGGATGAGGAAGGAGGAAGTCATTGACTCTGCCTGGGACAGGGTGTTCCCAGGGCTAGTAGCTGGAGCTGGTTTAGGGGAGGGTCCAGGTGGGCGTCCAGCATGTGGACCTTCAGAATCTTCATTTCCCATGAAGTGGGCAAGACATCTGTGTCTATCATCTTTTTTTTTTCTTTTTGAGATGGAGTTTTGCTTTTGTTGCCCAGGCTGGAGTGCAATAGTGCAATCTTGGCTCATTACAACCTCTGCCTCCCAGGTTCAAGCTATTCTCCGGCCACAGCCTCCCAAGTAGCTGGGATTGTACAGGCATGCACCACCATGCCCAGCTAATTTTGTATTTATAGTAGAGTCGGGGTTTCTCCATGTTGGTCAGGCTGATCTGGAACTCCTGACCTCAGGTGATCCGCCCACCTTGGCCTCCCAAAGTGCTGGGATTACAGGCGTGGGCCATGTGTCAGTCATCTTAAGGGACCTTGCCAAGCTTTAAAGAGCTGGGTGGACTTGGACTGACCCAAGGCAGGGCTGTGGCAGAGAGGGCATGGGAGGGGGTGCTACACCTATAGTCCACGAGGCCAGTCTTGTTTCCCATGCCCTCAACACCTGGCTCCTGGCTGGGTATACATTGGACAGAGAGAACTTAAGGATGCAGGGCCCTTGCCAGGGGTGTTGTGGTTGACATCGCTAGAGGGCAGTGTGGCTCAGGTTCAAGCTGTTTTGGTGGGGGCTGGGGTAGACAGTGTACAAAGCTTGAAGAGGTGGGGCTGGGAGCCCGAGGAGGCGGGAGCCTGCAGGAGTTGGGTAGAGTGACAAGAGTGACCCAGCAATTTCCAAACTTCCGATCTCTCCCCTGTTCCTTGTCCGCACTGCATTTTCAAAGACAAGAGGGAGATACAAATACAGTAAAAGACAACCTTAACGTATTTTAAAATGGATTTCTTAGAGATTGACATATTTTATACTATAATACTGTAAGATTGACAATGTGCGCTGGGCACGGTGGCTCACGCCTGTAATCCCAGCACTTTGGGAGGCCGAGGCAGGTGGATCACAAGATCAGGAGTTCAAGACCAGCCTGGCCAACATGGTGAAACCCCGTCTCCACTAAAAATACAAAAATTAGCCGGGCGTGGTGGTGGTGGTGGGCACCTGTAATCCCAGCTACTTAGTAGGCTGAGGCAGGAGAATCCCTTGAACCCGGGAGGCGGAGGAGGTTGTTGTGAGCCGAGACCTTGCCATTGCACTCCAG